TGAAGAAAAATATGGAGATATGGAAATTAAACAATTTAGCCTCGATCTATCTTACCCTATGTCAGAATTAGAACAATATTATTTTCTTTTTTTTATTAGTGAAACACCATGAGGCACAGTTGTAGACTTATAAATTTTCTTACAAATTTTTGTGCTTGGGTTTCAGTTATACAATGATCGAGTACCCATACCTCCACCAGTGCCCATTTTCCACCACCATTGATCCCAGTATCCCTCCCACCCTTCACCCCACCCTGCCTCTGTTGCAGGGCATTCCTTTTTGTTCTCTCTCTCCTTTTGGGTGCTGTGGTTTGCAAAAAAGGCATCGAAGGGCAATCATGTTCGGTCTAGAGTCTACTTTCAGCACACATCTCCCATTCTGGGAAGATCCTCCCAACACCCTTTATTTGGTGCTCCCTTCTTTATCTGAGCGGCCTTTTCTTCTAGCATGTGTGGCTGGCCTCCAAGCCATGGAGTGAACCTCCTGGTACTTATCTTAGCTATTCTTGCATGTTAGTCTCCTATTTTATTACTTTATGTTCCCCAGATGAATGCGATCTATGTCTGTCCCTTTCTTTCTGACTCATTTCACTTAGCATGATACTTTCCACGTAGTACCACTTGTATGTAAATTTCATGACTTCATCTTTTCTAACAACTACATAGAACTCCACTGTGTAGATATACCAAAGTTTCTTTAACCAGTCATCTGTTCTTGGGCACTCAGGTTTTTTCAGAATAACATTATTTTCCAGGGAAGATGGTTTATTTCTACAGTCTCTGCTTGGAAACTGTGGCCATTTGCTCTGAAATTTTGTAGCCCAGGATTAAACTATTGCATTTCTCAGAGAGACAACTCTGCCAGCTTCAGCTGCCTTTAAAAAAATTTTTTTTTTGGTCCAGAGAAGGGACATGCTCATGACTATTAAATCAGTAGAAGCACATTTCATAAACAAGACTCATTTGCTTTCCTTAAGAAATGTCTGTATTACTTGCAAAATGAAAATAATGTTGCATATTCCTCCTGTGTCATTAGAAGATAATAAACAACAGCCTGAAATTCTGATGCAGGTTGTAAGAATATGCGGTATTGGAGAGGGAAGGGACTTAGGGTAAAGACATACTAGCCCATCACCTGGAGAGTAAACCTTGCAGCTGTGTGCGAGCACTTACTCTGGAGGCAGCAGGTCTACTTTAAAAATGTACTTGATGGGGGTCTTGAAGAGATAGTTCAGCAGTTGTGCACTTGCCTTGCACATGGCAACTGGATTTGATTCCCAGCATCACTTATGGTCCTCCAAGCACTGCCAGGAGTGGTCCCTGAGTGTAGATCCAGGAGTAAACCCTGAGCATCACCTGGTGTGGCTCCAACCCTCTCCCTATAGAAAAAAAATTCCTCCCACAGACAAATCCAAAAATATACTTGATAGGTGGGGGGTTGAGAATGGTCACAGACAGAGGACCAATGAGATGGGAAGTCTTTCAGACATTCTGAGAACCTGGAAAGAACCTAACACAGCATCACTCAGTAGTGTTGGGCTCCCCTGGTGTCGGGCTCCCCTGGTTGACCAGAACCCACTCTCCTGCCACGTGTGTGCAGGACAGCAGGGTGCTTTGCGACAACAAGCACTGCATCACACCCTAGATTGTGCTTGGATGGAAGGAGGTGACTTGGTTTGGAGCCCTCGTGAGATGCTGGCAGAAATGGTTTTGGACACATTGGCAGCATTCCTGAGAGGTGGCATGGGTAGAGAGGAATTCCCTCTGCCTCCACTTCCTCTGCAGGAACACGGGGCTGAGGTCTCTGCTGGGCAGATGAGAGGCACTTGGCAGAAAGAGCAGTGATGGGAGAGAGGAACAGTGGATCCCTTGACGGCTTAGGGTAAAGACACACTAGTCCTAAACTATGAATGTACAGACGCCTCTTCTGAGCAAGAGCAAGGCTTGGGAACTCAATTCCTGATCTTGGTCCTTACAAAGCAAGGGAGAATTTGAAGCACACATGTAAAGAGTTAAACAAACTCTAGCTTTAGAAGTTATATGGAACAATCTACCTTTGCAGACAAGGAAAGCCATTCATAGCCTACTGAAAGATTATACAGCAGGAAGAATCAAAGAACATAAAACATGTGTGGAAAGCTATGGATAGACAAGACAGATTTGGAGATAGAGACAGAAATCTGAAAACCAGGACCCAAAGTGTTTAATGTCATTATCTGGTTATCTACTATTTTAAAGGCAATACTGGGAGTTCATTGTCTTTTTAAAAAAAGTTGTTGCAAAATCAACTTTTTTCTTTGAAAATTTGATTAATAAGATTACTACAACTTAATCTGCACAATGGAGATAAGAATGAATAATATGCATGTCACATCCATGACAGATTGTGTGTTATTCAATCGAGGGGGAAATACTTTTATGAATAACTAAGAATGTGGCTAAGTATTCCTTTGAGGACAGAGAATGGAGGCAAGAGGCCGCTGACATTGTTTGTAGGGGGGATCGCATGTTCGTATTTTAATAGGGCACTCCTGGTAGAGTCGGGCTCTCCAGACTGGAGATATGAGGCGTGGTCCTCCCTGTCCCCCAGGGCCAGGGCTGGAGCGATAGCACAGCGGTAGGGCATTTGCCTTGCATGCAGCCAACATGGCCAACCTGAGTTCGATTCCTCCTTCCCTCTCGGAGAGCCTGGCAAGCTACCGAGAGTATCTCACCCGCATGGCAGAGCCTGGCAAGCTACCCGTGACGTATTCGATATGCCAAACACAGTAACAACAGTCTCCAATGGAGACATTACTGGGCCCGCTCGAGCAAATCGATGAACAATGGGAGGACAGTGACAGTGACAGTCTAAATATGCAAAGAACATGAGTAGGAAATTCCCTGAAGAGACACTGAGGTCGGTGGTTTATAATTGACCAAAACATCGTTAACATTATCAGGCATCTGACTATGAGAATTTCCAGTATGTACTATAAAGACTAAAGGAAAAAGAAGTCCAGATTGTTGGGAGGGGGTGTGAGTCGCCCTGGTGTTTTCAGGGAAGTGCCAGCCAAGTCTTAGCTTCTGCAAGCACATGCATGGACACTGCTGTCACACTCAGGCACTGCTCACGCAAGATTCAAAGAGCAGAGACACTCGAGGCCGTCCAAGAGGTGGCGACAACCCTCACGGTGGCAAGCTTTATGAAGTGACTTAGAAGAAAATAAGTGTCGTGACAGGTACTCACTATGCCACACTGTCTCACCCACCACTAAATATCCTGATATGTCCTGTGTTTCCACAGAAAGCAACACGCTGCTTCAGACATGGCCTCCAAAATGGAAAAAAAAATCAATGGGGAAGAGAGTCTGAATAACAGAGTTTCACACAAGGAAAAGAAAACTCTTTTCAATAGGGACAATGTGTATGTCATGTTATCGAGGATTAAACACGTGCAGAGATGGGACACTGCTCAAGGGGTGAGGCACAGGCCTTGCACGTTCCAGGCCTCAATTGGATTCCTGGTACCACATGGAGCACCAATGAGTCGGGCCCTGGGGGACAGGGAGGACCACGCCTCACATCTCCAGTCTGGAGAGCCCGACTACCAGGAGTGCCCTATTAAAACACGAACATGTGATCCCCCCTGCAAACAATGTCAGCGGCCTCTTCCCTCCATTCTCTGTCCTCAAAGGAAATGTCCTAGATAGGAACTGTGGCAAATTTATCATTTCTATTGATTGTTACTTTATTATTATTATTATTTACTAAGGGGTCAGTCCTGTGGGCCTCAGGTTTATAAATGACTTGGGTGCTGGGGATTGGGTGCTGGGGATTGAACCTATGTCAAATGTGTGCAAAATGACACCCTACCTGCTGGATTATCTCCCTGGCTCCTGATTATTATTATTATTATTATATTTTATGATTATCATTTATTTCATGTTTCATTTCAATACACATCATTCAGAATACAAAACATGATTAAATAAGCAAATCAATAAGTAAACTCATAAAAATAATAAATTCATAGCTTATTTTGTTTGTTGCCTGTTTAGCCTACCAATTCATAATGGGCCATCAATTATTTAATAGATGAATTATTAAATTAAAATAAATGAATCATAAAAGACAGTTAAGAAATCTTTCCCTCTGGAAAGGTTGATATAAGATGATATCAAATGATAAGAATATGATAAGACAAGCATCAATTATTTGTTTTGGGGGTCCACACTCAGCAGTACCCAGGAAGTACTTCTGGCTCAGTGCTCAGAAGTGGTACTCAGGCAAATTTATGTGGTACTGAAGATTGAACCTGGTTCAGCCACATGCAAGGCAAGAGCCTTCCTACATGGGCTTCCGCTTTGTGCATTTCTAGTCATATACCATTGACAATTCTACCATCAAACTGGGAAGTGATGCTCTATCTTTGAAGAGAACACATGACTCAGAGGGAAGAGAGGAATATACTGGACACTGCGAATTAGCTGTTGGAGGACTTTTTGACTACTGTGGGCTACTTTTTAGAAGAACATAACAAAACAATGGTATATAACTTTTCATACGTAAAGTTAACCATGTATATAAAGGATTTGCTTTATTTAATTCCATTTTAGGCACTGTAAGTTTCTAAAACCACTTACCTTATGTGTGTGTGGGGAGGGGGCGGGGGGCGAGTATGTTGCTAATAGTGAGAGAGTCGTTGCATCTCCAGCGTGAGAGGAACAGCCTTCCCTGACAGAGGGGTGCAAAGCAGCACATCCTACATGTAGCAGTAACCTACAAGGGCAACTCCCCCACCCCTCGTGCTTTCCAGAGACTCGCTCTATCAGAACAGAGCCCTGCAAGGCTGAATGAGACATGGAGGCGCAGTCCTGCAGTATAAGAAGACGCATCTCATGGAGATGAGGAATTTTGTATCCAGACGCATCTCTTGGCATAACCAGAAGCTTTCTTTCCATTCTTTAGAACATAATTCATGTTTTATATATAACAAGCAACATGTAGTCACTTCCTACCTTTAGAGAATTTCCACACGATGGTGGGTACAGGATAACCTTCTGCTGAGCAATTTAGGATGACTGCTTTGCCATAAATTCCATCCTGGTCACGTGGCTGAACCACAAACTTGGGAGGAACTGAAAAAGAAAAATGTAATCGAAGATTCAGACAAAATCAACGTGTATTGAAGGTGCAGTGATAAGAAATCCTGGAATATAAATGAACATGACAAGGCAGACAATATATTCAAAACCTATGGATGTAACATAAAAAATATAGTATTTGAAGTTTGGGGAGAATTAGGGAAACAATCTCAGGACAGAAATAAATAAATCTGGAATGATTCTGAGCAGCCTGTGTAGATAGAGATGGCTTTGTCCTGGGGACACAGGTCTCTTGAATAGGAGTTTTGCTAAACTGTGTGGGCCTGTCTGGGTGTTTTGTTTGCTGGCATTTAGGTTCTGCTGTGTTGTTGTTTCTCTTGGCCTACACCTGGCTGTGCTCAGGGCTTTCTCCTTTCTACTATCTCAGGGATCACTCCTGGTAGTGCTCAGGAGGCCAGATTCCATGTCAAGGATGGAACCTGGGTTGGACGCACATAGCAAGGGCCTCGATCCCTGAGCTATCACCCGGGCCCGATTCTGTGTTTGCTTTCTAACCTAGATCTTCAAGATCCTATTTTGGGCAGAAACTACTGGAAACAATTCATGCTGATTCTTCCTCTTGCAGGATATAAATGGAGAACAAGAAGACTTTTCTTAATGGCAATAAAGGACCCATCATGGTTTTAAACTGTGTCTCCAAATTTAATAAAGATACACAGGTGATTAACATAATTCTGCTGAAGAGGCAACTCTGGGTGCTGGAGGAGATAGCACATGGGTTTCAACCCATGTCTTGCATGCAACAAATCCTGATTCTATCTCCAGCACCGCATGGTGCCCTGAGCAGTGCCAGATGTGGTCCGGAGTCTCCCAAGCTCTGCTGAGGTAGCCCAAGGAATTCCAGCTTTACAAGGCCCAGGCAGTACCAGAGCTGCAAGCCTCACCCTGAACCACTGGCATGGTTGGCTGAGAATCCTTGGGCCCCGCCAAGGACTGCTACCTCCCCCAGGATACAAAAATCTATTCAAAAAGACATATGCACATGATTATTCATTGCAGCATTTAGTACAATAGCTAAGATACGGAATCAGTCTAGGTATCCAATGGCAGATATGTGGATTATGAAGATGTGGTATATAGACACAGTGAAAAACCATGCAGCTATAAGGAAAGATGAGATTGTGCAATTGGCTGTGACATGGATGGAATTGGAAGACCTCGTTAAATAAAATAAGCCGGAAAAAGGACACAAGATGATCTCACTTATAGATAGGATAACTGGACAAAGGAATGCAAAGTTTGAAAGGGAGAATGCTAGATCATCCTTGGCCCTAGAGTCTAGGGAGGGGAAGGTATAGAAGGAAAAACCGGAGGGCAGGGGCTGGGGGGAAGATAGTCAGGGAGCAGGGGCCTAGGGAATCCGAGTATGTTGGTGGCATAGAGGAGTGATGTAGTGGAATATCCTTACCACAGAGCCAACGACACTGAAAACAATAGACCTGAACTTCAACAATAAAATTTAAAAGGTGCCTGTTAAGGTTAGCAGGCTGGGAAGGGGTAGGTAGGGGGGAGGAAAACCGGGGGCCCTGAAGGAGGGACAAGGACACTTGTGCTGGATTTGGGCTAGAACATAGTATGTCTGGGCTGGAGTGATAGCACAGCGGTAGGCCATTTGCCTTGCACGCAGCCAACATGGCCGACCCAAGTTTGATTCGTCCGGCCCTCTCGGAGAGCCCGGCAAGCTACCGAGAGTATCTTGCCCGCACGGCAGAGCCTGGCAAGCTCCCCGTGATGTATTCGATATGCCAAACACAGTAACAACAAAGTCTCCAATGGAGATGTTACTGGGCCCGCTCGAGCAAATCGATGAACAACGGGAGGACAGTGACAGTGATAGTATGCCTAAAACCCAACTATGAACCCAACTTTGTACATCATGGGTCTTTAATAGGTAAAGGTAAAGGTAAAGGCCCTCCCGTTGATCGTCGATTTGCTCGAGCGGGCCCAGTAACGTCTCCATTGGAGACTTTGTTGTTACTGTGTTTGGCATATCGAATACTCTCGGTAGCTTGCTGGGCTCTCCGAGAGGGGCGGAGGAATCGAACTCGGGTTGGCCATGTTGGCCGCTTGTAAGGCGAACGCCCTACCGCTGTGGATTTTTTTTTAAAGTGTAAATAAGCCGATGTGACTGAGCTGAGGTCATACTTGAGGTGAGGCACCATCATTGCTTTATGGTCTACTTGGAAAATCATTTAAGCAGCTGCTTATTTGATGAGTTTTGCAAAATGTTGAGGAAAAAACTCACCCTCCCTCGACCAAACATGCCAATGATCTCTGCCTAGCACACACCTGTCAGGAGAAAGCAAATGCTCTCATAATTAGGATTTTTAAAGAGAAAAGATGGATTCTTCTAGGAAAAGCAGCCCCTGGAGGTATTAGAATTTTCCAATATCTCCTCAAAGAGGAGTGATTTACTGCTGAATTTGAGTAAGACACAGAGTTGTATGAATGGATGTGAATTATGGCCATGATATCTTAGATCCTAGAAAACAGGGCTCCTTCCACTCTACCCACTCAGTAATCCCTCCAAGGCTAACCCTGTCTATTGTGCAATTTTTCCAGCTCTTCATTTTGAGACAAAATTCAAGACAAAAATGTGTTGAAAGTTGATAAGAATTCCGGGCAGCCCAGGAAGTAGTCTTGGGGGTGGGGTGGGGGTGGGAGTGGGGGCGGTAATCCTAGTCTAGGTTAGTTTGGAGCATATAAACACACTGAAGTAATGCCAGAAGGTGGTGGGAATATGTTCAGCCATAAGGCAGCGAAGAACGAGGGGAGATCAAGGCCTGAAGCAGCTGGAGACAGAACTCGAGATGAGATCCTAGTGGGAGGGGTGAGAAGCCGTGGACCAGCGCTTGGCTCTGGTGTCCAGCTCTGTGGTATCCAGGTGAGTAATCTGGGCAAGTCATCAGAAGCCTCTTGACTTAATTTTCAAATCTGTAAATTCCGACAGTTTTAGTGCCCCTGTTATAACATAGCTCAGTGTGAATTCATATTTTAAAATACCCCAGAGGAATTAATTTTTGTAGGTGCATTGATTCATTTAGTAAGACTAGCTCTGTCCAACCTTACCATATCTTTAGGAAACATTGTTTCCAAGTTGCAAATTCAGTATATAATTCACACCGTCGATGGAGATACTTAATATTACTTCACTTGTAAACAATTTTGCTTCATTTAAAGAGTATTCCGAGACAAATACACTGAATAAAATCTAAATATATTCAAAATAAGGTAATAAAAGATGACTGTCTCACAGTGAGAAAATTATTTCTAGGAATAAAGCTAGAGATGGCATAAATCACAGATTCCTAGTAAAATGTATCAATCCACCTTAAAGAAACCACGAAGCTTATGACATGTCAGATTTTTTTCTTTCCAAAGTAGAAGGTACATTTCTAGTGATCTACTTTCTACTCTCTTTGGCTGAAATTCTGCCAAGAACCAGAAACCTCTTGTCAAATGGGCAGGGTAATTAATCTCTTGCATTTCCTCTGGAAGAATGTCTAATTAGAGTTGATCCGTGACCCCTCCCCCCAATTTGGTTCCAATCCAAAGGAATGCTGCTTAAAAAGCAATCAAAGAGGTTAACATGGGGAATAACCATTGACATATTGTAAGAATAAGGTAATTATAGACAGAAATGGCCCATAAAATTGAGAATATCTTTCATCTCTCTGATTTTATTTCCTGGTTTAAGGTACTGATGATCTTCCTTGGGAATGTATTACATATATATCCTCAAACTATCCTCACCATCACTGTACCCTGAGCATGATGGGTAAGCAGGAAGTTTGCCACCAAGTGCCAGGTACCTTTCAACTGCTTCTAGGTTGAATATTTCCTTGCCTTTGGCCTCAGAACACCAACAGCATGAGTCTTTTTGTGTAACCCACGGGAATTCTCTGAAACTGGGCTTAGCATCATTCTCTTGATTCAAAAATAAGGTGTGTGTGTGTGTGGGGGGGCATTTACCTAACACTGGTCCCTCATTAGTGAGCCACTGGTTCTCACATAGACGTGCCTGGGAAGGGCTCAGAATCAACTGCCGAATCCCACCCTCCACACATTCTGATGCAGCAGATCTGCGGGGAACTGATATTCTACCTTTCTGACCAGGACCCAGGTGATGCTGAGGCTTCGGGCTATGGAGCACACTCTGAGTCACTCTCCTCCCTGATTCAGGCACAGGAGTCCTGGTTGCCCACAGTAGCGTCTTCCTCATTAAAGTCATATGCTTCTCTTCTTCCCACTCCTCTGGCTCTTGAATCAAGTAGAACTGGCCAGGTGAGCAAGCTCCAGGCAAAGGTGAACCTCACAATGCCTTCAGAACTCCACGGAAGACAGGCTCCTCTCCAGGGTTCTGAAAGCTGACCCACTCACCACCTACTGGCCTCCTGAATCCATCCCTTGAACAATGGCCTGAAGGATCCTTCTAAAATGTGAGGCGCTGTGCCTTCCTTGTTTCGGATCACTGGGACGCCCCTACTGCCCTTGAAGAATCCACTTTAGAATATTGCCTAGGCCCGTCATCTCCAGCTTCGTCACCTGACATTGCCCCTCTTGGAGGCTGCGCCCCAGTGTTTATTTCGCAGGTCCCACTGTCACTCTGCGGCCACTGGATTTCAAACATGCTTCTGTGTGTCTCTGCTTTGTGAGTTCTCATTGCCACTATTTCCCTCTTGGTTCAGGGCCCACCTCACCTAGGACCCAGCTTCTGATGCCATGTATAAAATTATCTTTGCACAGAACCCTGCCTTGCCCTTGCATCACTGTTGTGAGTCACTTGGTGATTTTGCCGGTTGAATTCTTTGCCTTGCACTCCGGGCTACACACTCTGGGAGGTAAAACTGCCGCTTTCTTGAAGACCACCGGAAACACAGCGCATAGCACATGGCACCAGGATATAGAAGTCACACTGGAATTATTTGTTGGATGTGCCCACAAGCAAATTGAAATAGTAGTGCTATAGTTTT